TCTGTACCATCTGGCTGGGAATCACATACTCATTTGCAGCTGTGAGTTGTAACTTTTACTCCATTGTATGGAATCTTTAATATTTATTTTATGTTTAGAGAATTATTTCATGTTAACTATATGCAGGAATATAAAATTCAATTCATCCATAAAACCTTATTTATCCAAGGCACTTTGTTTTGTACGATGTAATGTTTTTAGCTCACCTGAGCCGAAGGCTCAAGTGAGCTTTTCTGATCACATTTTGTCCGTCGTCCGTCCGTCTGTCCGTCTGTCTGTCCGTCCGTCTGTCCAATGGGTCAATTTTAACCAAACTTGGTACAAAGCATCCTTGGGTAAAGGGGAATTTAAATTGTTAAAATGAAGGGCCAAGTCCCCTTACAAGGGGAGATAATCAAGAAAAGACAAAAATAGGGTGGGATCACTAAAAAATCTTCTTCTCAAGAACCACTGTGCCAGGAAAGCTGAAACTTATGTGGAAGCATCCTTGGGTAGTGTAGATATTAAATTGTTAAAATCATGACCCCTGGGGGTAGGGCGGGGCCACAATAGGGAATCCAAGTTTTACATAGAAATATATAGAACAAATCTTTAAAAATCTTCTTCTCAAGAACCACTGGGCCAGGAAAGCTGAAACTTATGTGGAAGCATCCTTGGGTAGTGTAAATATTAAATTGTTAAAATCATGACCCCCGGGGATAGGGCGGGGCCACAATAGGGAATCCAAGTTTTACATAGAAATATATAGAACAAATCTTTAAAAGTCTTCTTCTCAAGAACCACTGGGCCAGGAAAGCTGAAACTTATGTGGAAGCATCCTTGGGTAGTGTAGATATTAAATTGTTAAAATCATGACCCCCGGGGGTAGGGCGGGGCCACAATAGGGAATCCAAGTTTTACATAGAAATATATAGAACAAATCTTTAAAAATCTTCTTCTCAAGAACCACTGGGCCAGGAAAGCTGAAACTTATGTGGAAGCATCCTTGGGTAGTGTATATATTAAATTGTTAAAATCATGACCCGCGGGGGTAGGGCGGGGCCACAATAGGGAATCCAAGTTTTACATTGAAATATATAGAACAAATCTTTAAAAATCTTCTCCTCAAGAACCACTGGGCCAGGAATGCTGAAACTTATGTGGGAGCATCCTTGGGTAGTGTATATATTAAATTGTTAAAATAGTGACCCCCGGGGGTAGGGTGGGGCCACAATAGGGAATCCAAGTTTTACAAAGAAATATATAGAACAAATCTTTAAAAATCTTCTCAAGAACCACTGGGCCAGGAAAGCTGAAACTTATGTTGAAGCATCCTTGGGTAGTGTAGATATTAAATTGTTAAAATCATGACCCCTGGGGGTGGGGCAGGGCCACAATAGGGAATCCAAGTTTTACATAGAAATATGTAGAACAAATCTTTAAAAAATCTTCTTCTCAAGAACCACTGGGCAGGAAAGCTGAAACTTATGTGGAAGCATCCTTGGGTAGTGTAGATTCTAAAGTTTTAAAATAAAAAAGGGAAGGGGGTTGTTGGGCATGATAGGTATAGCAAGAGGGGGAATCTGGTAAAGATCTGCCTCACCCAAGTTACTCAGGTGAGCGATGTGGCCCATGGGCCTCTTGTTTTCTTACATATTTGATAGTAATACTTGAAGGAAAATGTGCATATTGTGAATACACTATATAAAGTTATAGGAATTCGTTATACAGATAAAGGGAATAAAATTCACAGGTCCCCAGGACTTGGCTATAATAGAGTTTTACTGTATTTCACTTTGTTTTAGGAATGAAATAAGTAGGAGCTGACTTTAGTCAGACTGGGACATTCATTACTATTGGTAATGTTTAATTTTGATTTTATTTTCAGGCCAGTATGTGGCCCTCTATCCCCCTAGTTGTCTCCCAGGCTACCGTGGGGACTGCCATGGGACTCACTACCTCCATACAGATGATTGGTATCGGTGTGTCTAATTTGGTGGTGGGACAAATTCTTGGAAAGAATGAAGGGTAAGCACTCCATCAGGGTACAATCCGATTAAATCAGATCCACTCACCTAGATCCTTACTCATGGATCTGAGGAAACCCTATCGAAGGTAATCTCTATACAGAAACATGATAAGTACTTGCTTTTGCCTTGTTTTTTGGCTCTTTGTTTTGTATGAAACGATAAGATCTTTTCCACAGCTACTTTCACTTTTACATTTATTTTTCCCGAATGTTGCTTAAGTATGATCTTTCTGATTAGTCAAAATTTTAATGGATATTTTTATTAGAAAGGTCACCAAGAGATGACCTTCCATGGGGTTTCTTCAGGTCCTTGTGTAGCGATATATGCGAGCAGATCAAAGGATCTGATTTTAATGAATAACACTTATAAATTTAAATTTATAAATATTAGAGTCCTTAGACCCATTGTGTTGCAATTTATTCTATTATGACGATGCAGAAAAAATAAAATAAAATGGCCTGAAAGCAAGTTTAATTTATAATTGATATAATGTTAGTTTTACCCTTGGTTTGCAAATGGACCTTTTACAGGAAAAAAAACCATGTGTTAACTCTTACATAATAAAATCCAGGGACCCATTTTACAAAAGAACTTACAATTAAGACCAAAAACTTATTCTGATTGTAAAATTTTGTTAATTTAATTATTTAGTTTGAAATACCCGGTAGCTAGCATTTAAATAAATCCTGCTAACTTCTTTTTGGAAAGATTAAAATAATTTTCAAATCAATATACATGTATTAATAATAAAAATTAATGAGCAGAATGTAATTTTGGTCTTAGTCTAACGTTTTTTGTTTTTTGTTTTTTTTTTGTAAAAAGGCCCCCGGAATAACAGTACCAGATTTTAACTTTATTGTTTACACAATTTGAAATGTTTCCCTCCAGAATGAGTTTTTATGTTCCTGTTTTCAGTTTAAATGACGAGGAGATTCTTCACAGATGGAAGTATGTAATGATATTTTTGTTGGCCAATTCTCTAGCTTGTGTAGCAGCTACTATCTTCCTCAACATTACAGACAAAAAAAGGGTATGTTGTTCATGAGGAGAGTGCTGATTTTGCTATTGCAAATTTTTTACACCAATTTTAATGAACAGTGTTAAATTTTTATTTATATGTTTTATAAATCTCATATCTTGCATCTAGGTTTATTCAGTATATATATATTGTACATGCATGTGAAATATTTCTTAAGAATGAATTTTTTAACAAAAATGAAAAAAAAAGTGCATTTCATCTTTCAAATTTTTTATACCTCTACCTTCTTATTTTTCATTTGTACAGGGAGGCATATTAAACATCAGCAGAAAACAACGGCAGCAGCAAGAACTAGAAAAATCTATACCAGAGAGTGAAACAAAATCAGACGATGAAGAGGAGCCATTGTTAGGTCGACAGCAGCACAGGATCAATTAGTGATCTAGGTCATGTATCATCTTAACTTCTAGTCACAGACATATAGTGAAAATAAGTGTTTCTTGGAATGAGATTATAAAACATGTTGTTGCCAAAAAGAATTAAAGTTGGTTTTTGATTTTTGTTACATGTTAAGAAAGAGGGTTCTATCCAATGTATTGAAAAAGAAACAAAATATTAAATGCATGGAAAAGTTGTTAATGCACTTTATCAGTATTATTATTTTTTGGCTGATTTAATACAATAATGTTATGGTTTTTGGATATTTTATTGTCTTTTACACATACTGTATAGAGGGGATGGGGTGTGGGTAATAAAGATGCTTGTGGAATTTCAAACAACATTTAAAACTTTACAGATGATACTACAGAAGTTACATGTTATTTGATAAAGAAAATGTATGAATGAATGTATGAAAGGTTGTACTTAATGATGAATAAAGCATTTTTTTTTTAGAAGTCTTTGACATTAAATTTTATTTGGACATTAAGGATTCAGGGAGAAATGTCAGTCTGATTGACAAGTTTTTTTTTGTGATGGAATTCACTTTAGCTTTTTAATATAGAAAAAGGAAGGAGTTTCAAAATACATAAATACTCTCCATATCAGTAACTAGCCAGGACTTGCAAATTCGAAGAAACAGATGTAACATGCATGTGTATGTTATAAGCGACAAAGTACGTTAAGACTCCTATTTGGCCCATGGTTGGTTTTTTTTTTAGAATGGTGCACGTTTTTCAATATTCTCTTATCCGCAACTCCTCTTATACCATTCATTGAAATTTAATGAAACTTTCAAAGAATCTTTGTTACACAGTGCCATGGTGCTCATCCTATTTTACTTATTGATCAGGCACATATTTTAGGTTTATTTTATAGCGTATTTTTTCATTGTGCATTGTTCTTACAACCATGCCCATTACAGAGGATGCCCAGTATCTAAGGATGTATGGTATCTTCATTCTTCAACCATATAGATTTCTATATTTCTAAACTAGATTTTAATGGGGGAAAATAATTCATTTATTTTCAACTCTTTTATGACTTACCCAACAGAGTATAAGCATTGAACAATTTTAGTTTTTCAGAAAATTTGGAAATATTTATAAATTGAAAGAAAATAAATCCTGAAAGTCATTCATGTATGAAATTCAAATGCATGCGAATCACAAATATATATAAAGTTAACCATATATATGAATAGCTGCATGTTCATTCATTTTCGAAAGTAAATACATGTCATCTCTATATTTTTAGAATAACTGTTACTAATTTATTTTGACTCCAGTGAATACAGATTCACCGTCAACTCTGAGCGAACCACTGTTGGGTAGCAGGTACACTTGATCGCCAATATCTAAGTTAATGACCAATGAAACAGATCCGCTATTGAGGCCTTGACTTCTTTCACTTGTATAAGCAAGTATAAGCTGGTGACCATTTTTGTAGATAAACACACCATCACCTGCTGTGTTAGATATCAAAGACACTTGGAAGAGATACAGTCCCTGGATGGGACATGTAAATACCGATCCATTGTAGGCATTCCCGTAGTTAAATATTGGAGAATTATAAGCTTTGATAATGTCAGACCGGCTGTATGTACCACCAAGTCGAGCTGTAAACCCGATATCTGAAAGATATGGAATAGACTTAGACACATTTTATCGTATACGAGGGATGATCCAAAAGTTCGTGGAATTCTTTCTAAAATTTTATCGTGATTTGATGAAAGCAAACAACAGGCATATTTATAATATAGAGTCATAAAGCAACAATACTAGAAAATTTCACAACTTTCCAATTACCAATAAGGTCACACGAGCTTTCTGAAAATGCATTGTGAAACCCGGGGGAGACTTTGACGTTACGTTAAGTTTGATATGCCACGTCACGTTATAGAAGCACCTCACCCTAATGTACAATTAAAATACGTTATACTACAAATGCTGCCTTTTTCTCTATTTTTTCTCAAATAAAGCTTGGGTATCCTATCGCACCAACTTATCTTCATTTTTCACTCATGTTTCAAAATACTCCCCATCTTTCTATATGATGTTGCGATTTCAGTAGCAATGTCAAGAACAGTACGTCAGCCGACAACGTCCATTAATATTTTTGAATTGTTAAGTGGGGGGGGGGGGGGGAAGGGGGGTAAACACTTAAAACAGAGCTTCCAAAAGGCGACCACACATTTAATCAACCTCCATGTAATATACATTTTTTTCATAAATATCTTACGCCATTAAAAAATATTAACTAAATGTATTTTTTCCCCGGCCTATGTCAATAATATATATAAGATATAGTTATCCCGCAATTTTCACAAAACTTATTACTTGACCGAAATTTGACGTTGTCTAGTAAATTAAAGATGAGCAATAAATCACGGACTAATAAACTAAATATAAAGTAAAATCAGTAAAAATATCACACAAAGGTTTATAAAAGATCAAGCAATTGTAATAATGACACAATTTTCGTTTTATATACCACATAGAGTGGTTTTATTTAAACAATAAAATGCTTTCTTTGTTTGTTGTTACTGGAATGAACGGAAGCAGCTGTTGCAGAAAAAATACAAAACCCGCGTAAGCGGGTTATGTAATTTATTTTCTGCAATAGCTGCGACCGTTCATTCCAGTAATAACAAACAAAGAAAGACATTTTATTGTTTATATTTATATCTGTTTAAATTATCATTCTAAGTAGGATTAAAAATATTAATTATTGTGTTAATGATGCAAACGTCTTTGTACTTTTCATTGATGGAACGGCCACTGATCAAGAAATCTGTACAGGTGATATGCCTAATGTAGTTCATGCAGTGATGAACGCAATGGGTTTTCTTAAGACATAAAGAAGAAAATATTCAGTGGATGTAAATATTCTCATTTCTCGTATTTAAAATTAAAACGAAAATAAAGTCTTTATTGTCTCCCCCGCATTTCCAAACAACCGTTTCCATGAAATATTGATAAAAATGTTTTTTTTTTTTTATTTAAAATATTCAACAAGTGTCTATATTCTATTTTGTAACTTTCAACCAATTTCACTTAAAAATAGATAAAATATAAAGAAATTCCACGAACTTAAGTCTGAATTGAGTAAAGACAAAGTTTCCAGCTTAAATTGCACAAAATAAACACTATAAGGAAAGCAAGTTTTCATGAAAAACTTATCCTAATATTCATACATGTACTTTATTCTGGACCTTATTAGCTGAGTGACACTGATACTCATGATTAAAAAACAACAAACAAAATTGATGTAAAGAATATTACGGTGGTATTGTCAAGATTGTAGCACTCATAGAAAACACATCTGAACCGTATAGTGGTTTATTTGAAACTCAACAAGTATATAACATAACGTTATAGCAACGTCTATGACGTCATAGTACTATGACGTCATAGTTCGGTAAATGTCATTAATATTATTGCATTAAAATGTAAATAGAAAAGTATTACTGTCTATAATTCATGACATTCTCCGGCCCACAAAAGTATAGAATAAAGTCTTTGGACTGAAAATATCAGACGCGGTTTTTTTAGCTAAAAAATGCATTGATTTCTTTTTTAAAAAAAGTTATTTACAATATCAAAAATTAGATTATTTCACTTAGAATGACTGGAAATCTGCTCAATAGCTTTCAGTTTTGCCTCACGATCCTTTGTCGGTATTGAATGTTTGTCATCATCCCCAGAATTTAATTCTAATGGATACAGTTTTGTAATTGGCCTAGAAGTTATACCATTCCTGGTCTTTAATAAAACAGATCTTATAAGTCCATCTTGGCCGGAAATAAGCTCCTCAATCTTTGCCAGTTTCCACAGATTTCTTGGGTTGAATTCATCAAAAATTTGAACGATGTCTCCGGTCTTGATATTTTGTTTGCTTTCTCCGTGGCTGCGATGATATTCTCTTAAGGAGGTTAAGTATTCCTTTCTCCAACGTTGCCAAAAGTGTTGAATGACTTTTTGTTGAATATTGTAAGTTTCATTCGCAGATACATGGTTCAAATCAGTTGTTCCATTTTCTTCACTGGAACTCCCAGGATAAGGTAATGACTTGATTTTCCTTCCATATAGTAGATGAGAGGGTGTTAGGGGATCTTCGTCCAATGGGTCGGATGATGCATAGGTCAGAGGACGGTCATTCAAAATGCATTCAATTTCTACGATGATTGTGTTCAGGACATCTAAATTTACAAAGGATCGTCCTAGTACTTTCCTTAAGCAGTTCTTTGTAAGTCCTATTAGTCGTTCCCAGAAGCCTCCGTACCAGGGTGCTCTCTTAGGTATGAATTTCCATCTTGTACCATGGGTGTTTAAGGTTTCTTGAAGACTGTGTGAAGATGTTAACTTTTTGATTTCCTTAGAAGAAGCAACATATGTGGTTGCGTTGTCAGATATCATAATTTTTGGAAGTGATTTCCTGCTGGAAAATCTCCGAAAGGCTAGAATAAATTGTTCTTCAGTGAGGTCTGTTACCAGTTCCAGATGGACAGCTCTTGTACTAGCACAAGTGAAAAGACATATGTATACTTTGCCTTCCTGTCCATTCTTTTTTCGTATCTTCAGGGCACCAGTGAAATCCACACCAGTTACAGTAAAAGGAGGTTCTTCTCTCAATCTGTCTTTAGGTAACGGTGGTGCTTCTGGAATGGGATAAGGTTTTCCCATGATTTTTCTACATGTAATGCATTTTCGCAATACAGATTTTACACTCTGACGAATTCTTTGTATCCAGTAATTCTGTCTCAACAATGTGACTGTACTATTGACTCCTGAGTGCAAATTTCTTCTATGTGCATCTAAAACAATCAAAGTGGTCAGTGGATCTTTGGTTGCTAGGAGTATTGGATGCTTTGCTGTTTTGCTGATTGGTGCATTGTGTATTCTCCCTCCACATCGGATCAGATCCTCATTGTCTAAGTATAATTTCAGCTGTTTTGATAGACAATGTTTAGATTTTCCATCTTTTTGTAGTTCTACAAAAATATCTGGATAGTTTTCTTGTTGAGCATTTTTAATCCACATCAGGGAGCTGCGTTCAATTTCTGAGACAGTCAGCGGACCTGTAACTTTCTGTCCTTTGGAACAATTTTGTACGAATCTTAGGACATAAGAAGTAACGTTTAACAAATTTCTGTAATTGTTAAACTTCGAGATGTCAATAATTTCTGAAATTTTTTGTTCTCTGGGATCAGGCTGTACATCTTTCTTGTCTTGTGAGTCCTCCTCCTGGTATCCACATTTCTCAGATTCTGTTATGTTTGCAAGAACATGACTTTCGGTTTTGTCATATATGGGCCACATGTTTTTGTCAGTAATCCAAGTTGGTCCTTTTGACCACAATTCGTTCTTCCTAAATTGAAGGGGTACTGTCCTTGTTGCTTTTGACTACCTCACGATTTGAACACAAACTTGTGTGATGTCGTTTTTTGCAGACTTTGCAATTTGATTTGGATTGGCAGTCTGTTACACGATGTCGGCCCAAACAGTTAAAGCATAACTTGTCTCGTTTGACAATTTTCATGCGGTCAGTGCAGTTTTTGTACTTTGTACAATCATTTGAATAATGCGGCTTCTTACAATATGCACAGCATACCTGAGGTTTCCTTGGACTGAAGTTGTGTTGAACTTGCTTATGACTGGACTTTGAATGGGTATAAAAGGTCGATGTTGCGCTTGGTTCTGTTGCATCAATACCTGCTCCAGCTTCTAATATTTCGAGTTCCCTGTAAAGACTGTTTCTCAGATCACCTAGTAACCAATCAGTAGAGCCATGTTCACGTGCCAAATTCTTGCGCATTTCAGTAGGTAATTTGTTCAGAATCACAGGTACTAGAAGAGATCCGTATGTATCTTGAGCTTGTCCATACGATTCCAAACCTCTGACGTATGTCTCCACTTGGTCATGAAAATGACGCAGGCTTGTAAGATTATTCTTGGGAGTGGGTAGGTCCAAGAGTGCTTGCATGTAAGACTGAGTTATCTTATGTTTTTGCCCAAACCTTTCATGTAGAAGCTCAATTGCTCTGTTGTAGTTTGCATGTGTGAGTGCAAATCCTGAAATGGTATTCGATGCCTCGTCTGCTACTAAAGACTTTAAGTAATTAAACTTTTGAACTTCTGTCAACGTGTTGTTGCTATGAATAGCCGAATCGAACGAATCCCAAAATGACTGCCACTCCAGCACATTTCCCTCAAAAATGGGTAAGTTTAATTTCGGAAGTTTGTGGAAGTTACCACTGTTTGGATTTGAATGAAAGCTTGTAAGGGACTGAGGAGTTCTTGAATTTTCACTCAAATTGTTTCTTGATTGACCGTTTTCTTCAATTTGTGAATTGTCATTCTGGTTTGAATAAATGTTGGCTGATGGATTCAAATTTGAACGATGAACTATCAGGCTTCGGGGCCACCAACCCTGAGATTTTCTCAAATCTGAGATTTCTCAGAAAATCTGAGTTTTTCTCACCAAACTGTGCCACCAAACATATATTTTCTCAAACTCAGACTTACCTTCTGAGTTTTTTCTCATATCTGAGATTTTTTCTCAAGTCTGAGATTTTTCTCAAAGAGGCGTGCCACCAACGTTTTTTCCGACTCAGGTGAGAAAAAAATCTGA